GGTAAAATGTGATTCCGTTACAATTTTCTAATGCCTTTATCATAATTTTGTTTAATGCTGTAAACACAAATTCGAAAACCGAAGAAGAAAGATTTTACGATTAAAAGTTTAAAACACTTAATATTTTGATAATGTAAACGTAAAAAAGAAGCCTGTTAATTTAAATACATATATAATACATTTATTGATCGTTAAGTTCATAACCATAATCCTAACTAATTAAATTTGGTTGACATGATAGAGAAAACCAGTTTCAGAACTAGATAGAGTGCTGATGAATGCGGCTATGGAGGACAAGACAGTGATCATAACAGCATTAAACCAAGCATGGGTGGCTCCAAACTCGATATTCGACTTGTTTCTTGAGAGTTTTCGAATCGGAATTGGAACAGAAATGTTGTTGAAACATGTGATTGGTGTTTGTGTGGATAACAAAGCATATAACGAGGGTCGGTCCTGAGATTTTGGGGGCCTAAAGCAAAAAAATAAAATAAAATTAGATTTTTCTGATAGAAAATTAAATATGAAAACAAATGTTAAGATTTTAAAAATTTGGAGGTCTATTTTTATTAAATAAAAAAATCGGAGGCCATTTTATAATACTAAAAAATCAAAATATTTTGGGGGCCCAAGGCATGGGCTTTGTTCGCCTAGGCCCAGGACCGGTCCTGATATAACTAGTGCTTGCAGATTTATCGTCATTGCTACGTCTGGCAGACTTGCTGGTCCGAACGGGTTCTTGTCTCCCGGTTACTTGACGCTCGTTTGGCGGCGATGAAATTTCTTAAGAGAAGTAATTGCCCTTGGTTACAACTTCATCTTCACGGTACACAATATTTCCCCATATTCTAACTTGCACTTATACAGTTGATCAATTTTACCAGTTTTTAAGTCATACATACTAATATTATGATGTTTTTCCTTCTATGCAACCTATTATTTTTACATAGGTTCATACTAAGAACTATATGTAATTCTTTATTTTAAAAAATTACTACATAAATTTTAATAAACTGATTTATTTGATGATGTCTACTCTCAATATTGCATCTAGGATGCGGGCATCTTGTGGTTTCGGGATCCATTTCCCCGGCTTTTTGCAGACGCTGATTTTCAAATTACATGCGACAATTACAACGGAAAACCTTCTGACAAAAGCAATTGGGTGAACTCCGGATTCACATACGTCAAGGCGAATAACAAAACCGCAAAATTCTATGACTTTTGGTGTGGCTCGAGACGAAGGTTCCGTGGTAGAAAGCACGACCAAGATATACTCAACTTCATAAAAAAAGATCCATTTGTTGCGAAAATCGGAATCAAGATAAGGTTTCTCGACACTGTTTATTTTGGAGGGTTTTGCCAGCCAAGCAAAGACGTCAATGTAGTGAACACAATGCATTCCAATTGTTGCATGGGTTTAAACAACAAAATTAGGTATCTTAATGACGTTCTTCGTGATTGGAAGCAATATTTGTCCGAGAATTTGTCTGGGAATACTACTTTGGCCGAGACTAAATGGAACCTTCGCCATAGGTGCGGTCGTTACTGGAGGTAGTAGTGACCGTACGTTATCTCAAATTTACAAACTATAATTACGTATATGAAACTAGTTTCGATTCGGTAGAATCGTGGAATAATCGGTATGTAATATATAAGTCTATATATGGTTTGAAGGTAGTTCTTCTTATGTAAACGTACTAAAACCGGTGAAAATGTAAAGTTTTATATAACTTATAATGAGGTTACTTTATCTACTACTACACGATTACGAAGTTTTTAGAATGTCAAATACAATTGTGATTTGGTCTTACATGGCCTTAATAACTTTTCTAAGCTTCATCAAAACTTGGCCAGCATTATTTATCAACTAATAACACTAGCTATATATATTTAGTGTTTGATAGACTTTGGCAGCTGAATTGTAGTATAATAATGTAGATAAAATAAAAAAATCTTAGTAGAGTTTAGCCACATATATATCGCACTACTTAGCTTTGATCAAATTTCAATACAACATAAATACACAAAACTACAAAAGACAACTGTGTGATATTCCAAACCTCTATCTAAAATGCTACAAGAAAGTATCCAATGTATAATTTAAAATTAAATATTTTCATACAATTAGTAATTTGTACAAATTAAGTTAGAGTCAATATAAACCAACTATAATGTTTAAAGGTAGCTGACCAAAAAAAATTAGCATCTTCTTTCTTTTGCTAATTTGAGGAGAATACAATAAACTCTTCTATTTTGGTTTAAAGTTACGTTCAGACTTGAGTTCTCTTTTGTATATTTTGGTAGCTAATAACAAATGACATTTTACCCTAAAAACTCAATTTACTCAATTGATACGCAAACTCCTCCTAGTTTTCTTACTTTTGAATGAGTTTACTTACTCATAATTACACTTTTGTCAACTATAGACTGATAATTAATTTATGAAAATAAATAAACGAGAGAAATTAGTCTGTCAAGGCAGCCACAATCAATTACTTTGGTGATAGTATTAACTAATTGCCTAACTAATTAGTACTTTTGACTCTAGCGGACAATCAATGTAGTGATTCTAGTCAGATTATTGTGTATATTAATAACTAATTTAAAATTATTATTAAATAGTAAAGTGGATTTTATGAGGTTTTGCTATGACATGAATCTGAAAAATATTCATGGATCGTGCATCACACATTAATCGATCGACAGTTTATTTAATCGTTGGTTATATAAACTTATCATGGTTAAAAAAATTGATGACGTTTTTAGTATTTCATATATTTCTTAGAGATTTATGCTTTAACATAATATTTTCTTTTTAAATAAGCGAATAGTTCACTGATGCATACATGACCATATCACTGATTAGTCGATAAAAATTTGTTATTATATCATGATTATTACAACGAGCAATTCTAATTTTTTCAATATTTTAAAAATATATTCATTGTACAACGGATACAAACTAAATCTATAATCATTTCATTTTATTTTATTTTGAAAACTATAGGGAAAAAAGCTTTTGAAAAAAAAAATCAATGATTATTAAAGATCCATAATATGTATTAACAATACACGATTCTCCCACTTTTATAAATATTCGGAATCAATCTTTTTTCACTAAAAAAAAATATAAACAAAATAATTAATTAATCTTGAACATTACTGTTACAAGAATGCCAACAATGACTTTTGCCTTGCTCTCGGACGTTATTATAAATAACTGACAAAAAACGAAGACTAAAAAGAATCAATGTGAAGAAACAAAAAAACTTCCAAAATTACAAAAACCAAATGAG